ATTGAGAGCATTGATCTAGGGCATTGTCACACAAGACTGTCTTCACTGTCAGAGTCACTGTTGCACAGGTTTGGAGGCTGCATGCTCTGCGCTTGTCTTCTGACTCATCTCATAACTGAAAAGTTTGTGCTATCCTCTTTCTTCTCTTTGCTACTTTGGGAGGAAATAAAGTTCTTGATGGATTGTCCTCTTGGAAGCAGGCTGTGCTGAGTGCTGTGGTCAGGAAGAAGTCCCTTTTGCTTCATCCTCATACTTTTCCTCATTGTAGTGGTTGCTGGGTAATCGATGAGTCATGATAAGGCGATTGTGGGGAAGATGGCATAGTGTCATGACATAAGGAAGAAAAGATTGCTGAGATCCTATTTGTAGTTCAGATATACAGAAGGTTCTTGTGGACCTGTGAAGTAATTGCAACGTGAAATGTTTTATTCCATTTTTTAAAAAATTAATAAAATTTCTCATTGTTCTTTAGAAGACCCATAAGAATAAAATTTATGAAATGTCATCCTCTCAGATACTTATAACTGCCCATAAAAAAAACTCAGCAGTTAAAGTTGGGCCCGGCAGATCCTGACTGTGCACTAACGGGTAAAGCAAGTCCACACCAACCGGTTGGTGCCCGCGACATGAGATACAGGAGCAAAGCTGCCTTGGGCTTCACATCTCAAGTGCAAGCCCTCTTTGGGCATCTCCTAGCTTCTCTGCAGATGCAGTCATAGTTAGCTTGATTTGCACAGCAAATTAAAAGCCCAAAATTATTGTGAATTTATGGGTCAAAAAACTATTGGGGAAAAAATTCATTTGGAAAATTTGAAACAAGTTTGAGATGATTTATCAAAAAAGCTGGAAAAAAACTTTCTACAAATTATTAAGGAAAAAATTATCTAGCACGAAAATTCTTGAAGATGAAATATTTGAATTTATGTAAAATTAAGAGCTTAAAAAATAAGCATAGGTCTGAAAGATTAGAATTCATTGAGAAGCTAAAATTTAGTAATTTAAGTGTTGAACACACAGTGAAATAATTTTTTAAAAAGTAGAATTCATTAGGCAGCAACATCACTAGGGGAATGATTGCATAAAAAATGTTTTGAGCTTGAGAATTATTTATGGAGGAGTTACAGATTCCAAACAGGTGGAAGCAGGCTGTCCTTGCAAGATGGTCACACAGCAGGTGGAGGTCTGGGAAGGTCTGAGGCTGCAGCCCTGGATCTTGCTTTGTGTGCCCCTCTCTTGCCTTTCCCTTCTGGCTGGAGGACCCTGCTGGAGAGAGGAAGGAAGACTCGGAACAGCTGTAGCCTGGGACCATCACAAAGGTGTTGCTCCTGCAAGCTCTCTGTTAGGTGTATTCTTTGTCAAAGGATTTCTCCACGCTGTGGTAGAAATCCAAACCAAAGGCAGGGCCTTCCTCTCTCTTTAAAAGTAGGAACTGAAGCATAGAAAGGTGGGGTGGAGGCCCCCCAGCCACCTGCCTGCATCTTCTTGGAGCTGCCAGTGGGGAAGGCTTTTTCTTTTCAGACCTTCTGGTTGAGCCTAAATCTGCCTTCCTGTGACCTTCCATCTTTTCACCTGGGAGGCTGAAGAGAGGACACCCTTCATAAATTTGAGGAATTTCATGCATTCCCTTTGTTTTAATTTTTAACCTCACAATCTACCTACCTACCTACCACCTATCTGTTGCTTTAAATAAACTTTCTGTTTTGGAATAATTAGAGATTTACAGAAAAGGTGCGAAGGTAATACATATAGTTTCCATATTCCCTTCATCCAGCATGCCCTGATGTTAACATCTTACCACCACCATGGTCAAAACCATGGTCAGAACCAAAACTTCAACTTTGTTTTGTAACTATTCATGAAATACATACTTTATTTGGATTTTTGAAGCTTATCTGCTGAGTCCTTTTCTGTTTGGCTTACCACCTATTTCCTTCAGTCTCTGTGTCTCCCTGGTCTCTGATAATGTCTCAGCCTCTCCTTGTTTTTTTTTTTTTGTTTGTTTGTTTGTTTTGTTTTTTAAAAGATGACTTAACCCTTGGCTTGGTGTTGTCAGCACCACGCTCAGCCAGTGAGCAAACCGGCCATCCCTATATGAGATCCGAACCCGTGGCCTTGGTGTTATCAGCACCACACTCTCCCGAGTGAGCCACGGGCCGGCCCCAATCTTTTTTTTGTTTTGTCCTTTTTGAGACCGGCTGCACCGCGCTCAGCCAGTGAGTGCACCGGTCATCCCTATATAGGTTCCGAACCGCGGCGGGAGCACTGCTGAGCTCCCAGCACCGCACTCTCCCAAGTGCACCACGGGCTTGGCCCTTTTAATTTTATTTTTTATTTTTTTAAAAAGATGACTGGTAAGGGGATCTTAACCCTTGACTTGGTGTTGTCAGCACCACGCTCAGCCAGTGAGCGAACTGGCCATCCCTATGTGAGATCCGAACCCGGGGCCTTGGTGTTACCAGCACCTCACTCTCCCGAGTGAGCCATGGGCTGGCCCGCCTTTCCTTGTCTTTAATGACGTTGACAGTTTTGAAAAGTATTGGTCAGTCATTTTGTAGACTTCTCCTCACCCTGAGTTTGTTTGATGTTTTCTCATTATCAGACTCAAGTTAAGGATTTTCAAAAAGAACCCTGCAGAGGGGATGTGTGCTTTTTGTCACATTGCAGCAGGCAGCGGCTGCCAAGCCCACCTGCAAACTATGATTTTCCTCCTTTCCAGACTCTCTTCTTGGGAAATGAATCCTTAAGTCCAGCCCCCACTCAAGGGGAGTAAGTTACGTTCTGCCTCCTGGAGGGAAGAGTGTCTGTGTTTACTTTGTGGCATTCTCCTGTAAGGAAGATTTGTCCCTTTTCCCCCACTAATTAACTTACTTAGCTGTATATTTGTCTCAGCATGGGCTCATGTATATTTATGTTATGCTTTGAGTTATAACCTCAAATGACATTATTTGTTTTGTTGTTCAAATTGTTCCAGATCTTTCAGGTTGGCTCCTGCATCCTCTGTCTTATTAGCACGTGCTGGGTTTCTGGCACTGCAAGGTGTTCCGGGCTCACGTTGTATTTTCCCTGTCTCAGTTCCACAATCAGCTATTTCTACAAGGAGTCTTGGTTCCTTTCATTGGAAAGTGGTGTTAGAAAACAAGGTCTGGGCCCTGGGTCTGTGTCAATGCTGCCGAAGGCTGGGGTGGAGTCTGCAGCTTTTGTTTCTGGGCTTTTTAACTTTTACACTAAGCCACTTTTTTAAATTAGCTATAATTCACATAAAATAGAATTCACCTTTTTTTTTTTTTTTTTTTTTTTTTTTTTTTTTTTTTCCGTGCCCGCAAACG